AAACTTACATATGGACCAAACCAAACGCATTATCATCGTATTTATATATTTATGCTTCAGATCAATTCGAATCATTCAAACGAAATATCATGAACCAAAGTTACTCGGAGATATTATAATTAATGAAGTGAAACAAAAATCTGCAGAATATGAGGTGCATGCATACGTACGCATGGGACCTATACGCCAAAGTAAAGTCGTGGCCACCATGAATATGCAGTAAGAAGAAATCTTTGGAGAGTTTTTACGCACGCAGAGAGAAAGAGAGAGAGAGGAAACAATATATATATATATATAGCTAATTAATTAATTAAGTTTGATTCTTTTGATGAAACCAACCCAACACATCATGCACATATATACAGATCATTAGATCAGACACAGACCCACCAGTCTTCCCCACACACACTTTGATGTGTTGGTTTCCTCTCTCTCTCTCTCTCTCTCTACCGTGTCTTCTTGTGACTGCCATTATCATCATCAACCTCAGAAGGAAAGCAGAAGCCTAATGTGTTATATGTACCTACAGAGAGACGACAGAGTCTCATAAATTATAACACCACCCACGCCACCTTCCCCCCTCCTACACTGACAATACCATAAATAATTCTCAACCTCCATAGATATATTCATCTCCTTCAAACTTTAAATAATTCCCCGCTGGATCAATATATATATCTATATGTATATTACTAATTAATTCGACCGTTTGATAGCTTTCGATGGGGACGAATCATATGTGTTGGAGTTTTTTTTGGGACACAGAGAAAGAAACGTTTTAGTGGGATTGATTATTATTACCACTATTGTACGACAAGACCACCTGCATTAGCAGCAACCAAAAAAAAAAAAAGGGGGAAGAAGAAGAAGCCATCATGGGATCTTACCTCAGCCGAAACAATTTCTTTTCATTTGTTAGGTGTCTCGCGCGCGCGCGCGCACACACACACACATATATAGCTTCGTCATAATTAAATAGATTGCACTTAATTAGAAGCGTCAGAATATATAGTTTGCTGATACATATTGCACTTAATGGATTGTGATTTAATTACCTAATATATATTGCATTGAATAGGAGATTATAGTATCGTCTGATGGTGTATGTTAACAATAAAAGAAGGTTCAAACTCCAATTATTCATCCCACTGCCACTATATTTCCATGTTGTCATCCTGATCTTAAGAATCTATCTGTGTGTGTGTGTGTGTGTGTAGGAAATAAAGTGAAAGTAAATATATATGGCTATATTATAATTGTGAGCAGTATATTGCAGCTTTGTTAATTTTGCTTAGGTGATAAATCATTTACCTGGGAATCGGACACAGACAAATTAATATGAGTCACCTATCTTTATAAAAGATAAGGATAGTCAGTGTGTGTGTGTGTGTGTGTGTGTTGTCTTCTACAAACACATAAGAATGAAGCAAAAAAGATGATGATAATAATAATATGATATAGATTAAATCATTGAGATTTTGATGCTTTTTTCATAGCTATATATTAATTAGAGGGGGAAAATATAATAAAATAAAAACTAGTGAAGAGAACGGCTGAATGAGACGTCGGAATATTAGACCAGAGGAGGAGTGGTGGTCCCTTCATGACGTTTCTTGAAGGTCATGTTTGCCATATATCTACGTCAAAATTAAGTTTCTCAATTTCTTTTGAATATTACACCACCCTCTAGAAAAGTTTAGACACTTCGATTATCAAAGTAGAAAAAAGATACCACCAAGAGGTTGTTTTAACTTTTAATTGCCTATCAAGCTTATGAAAATGGTAACAAAGCAGTAGAATATATAAACTTCTTGGGTCGGTTTGAATAATTAAGTATGCATATTTAGTGTGTGATCATATCTTAAATAGAATTATCTAGTAATAATTAATCGATCCCTCCTATGTATACTTAATAAGATGTAACATTGGAATATGGGAAACATAGGTTTCACTTTACGTAGCCTTGCAATTGATTTTAAGTTGTTTTGTGTAAGTGGTCCACCTACGATTAGTTTCCATAATTCCTGGCAATTATTGTCAACCCCACACACACGCACACACACACACATATAAGTAATACAATTTAATTTAATTTATTATATTCCCATGAATTTCTTTTTATCGGGACCATCCCTTTATCAACTCAGCCGCCGTGGGTTAAATTTTATTATTATGAATATATAAATGGCTCATAATTAATTATGTTTAACAAACTTAATTGGAGGCATGAACAAGGCAATGCAACAGAAGGGAGGGAAAGGCAAGGTTGATTTTGCTGCCCTATTCAATGGACGAGGAACACAAATAACTTAATTATATAATTAACAAGCATTGTCATGCCTGATTAAGAGAGCCTATTTACTTAATTGATATCTATCAATTATAGCCATCAAATAATTATGGATGGTGAAGAAAGAGGCGAAATTTATAAAGAGGATTAGCCGACTCTCTTTGTGGGACCAAACCATACACAAATTGCTCCATGCCTTTCCAAGGACTTTATTATCATCATCATCATCATTATTGTTATTATTATTATTATCATCACATACTTATAACTTATAAGAGCTAAATAACTAATCTGGGGTATTAAAAAAATTAGTTAAATTAGTTATTTATGACAAATATGTATTGATTTTTCTAAACTATCCTCTTCAATCATATGCATTAGATAATTAAAATTATCTCTTAATGACAACCTTTTTATAATTAATTGGGATATTTTGAAAAAAGATGAGAGACGAAGTATATGAAGGTCTTACATTTAGGACTAAATTTAACCTTTAATTAGTTCTTATACTAAAGACTAGAGGTTGTATATGTGTGTGTGTCTATGAACTTTGGAATCCTTCTTGTCTTATTGGGGAATTTCCTTTTCAACCTTTTTCTTCTGTTCCCTAACCTTTACTCATACTACAACCGATTTTCACACCCACCAACTATAAGGTTAGATATATACCAAATATTCCAACCATATATGCAGTCAGACCACTTGAAATTTGAAAACATATATAGAAAGTGCTCAAGAAAAAAATAATTTTCCATATTTTAATTAAGAAACTAAATAATTGAAGTATATATGTGTGATTCAGGACCCAACAATATGCACTACTTATTCTTAATTTAATTAATGTTTATCTTAATTCATATAGAGAGCAGTTAATTGGATAGTCAGATCTTCTATTCAATCGGATTACATAGGGATTATACCGGATTAGTATTAATATTTAAGACTTGTAATTAATCCGTACAGCAACCGTTGGGGTTCTTGATGTTTATGTTATTCAGAACCAAAAAAAGGTGTTTAGATTGAAGGTAAGAAAATAAAAAAGAAAATATTTTTGCGAAACATCAACTTCATTAATTAAGTCGTGATATCTAATTTAATATATTTGTTGAGTGATTTTTTTTTTTTGGGTGAAATATTTGTTGTTGAGTGATACTCCCTCCGTTCCTTATTATAAGAGACATTTGATGCTTATGGCATGTTCCTATATATAAGAGACACTTACAAGTTGTCTCTACTTTTTTGCGTTGATTTACTATTTTACCCATATTTATTATCTCCAACTTACACTCTCTCTCCCTCTCACTTCTCTTTCTTTTAATAATTTAATTGTTCTCTCTCATGCTCTCTCTCCTTATTAATGAGGGCATTTTTGGAAAAAAATTATACTTTTTACACATTAATTGTTTTTAACTAATTTTAACTGTTTTTTTGATCAACGTACTTCGGTTATTTGTCTCTTATAATAAGGAACGGAGGGAGTATTAATTTGTATGCTTGATCGTTCATATCAAAATATGGGGTTTTCATCTTTTCCTACATTCTAGTTTGTGATCTCCTTAATTCTTATATTTTGAATATTGCTTCGAAAAAAACTAAGTCGGTGAAGAGTATATCTGTCCGAAAAAAATCTGGAAAGGAGATACATACGACTTTATCTAACTAAATAAAAATTTTAATTAGTGATCCAAAATGAAGCAACAGATCATAATTAACTCTCTAAATGAGAAGATCCATTATTAGAAGCGATGCTCCCAAACAATTACAAAATAAAATAAATAAATAATATAAACGTTAATATAAAATTTGGTCATCTAAATTTGTGCTCATTTTAGTTTTGATCTCTCAAGTTTCAAACTATAAGTTTTCTGAAGTTTTTTATATATTTAAAATAGTCTATATAATCTAATAAAAATGTAGACCATTCTCAACTTAATGAAACATTGATATATAGTAGTATTTTGTGGTGTAGGATAGAGTTCGCAATCTAGTTTTTTCTAATGTAGGTACAATATAAATTTAAAAAAAGTAGGTAAAATTATGGATTATTATTGGTTAGCCAATTTTTATTATAGCTACGATATATCTATAAGGTTTTAATAATTTGACCACACATGGAGATAAAGATCGTTTTTTTTTTTTGGTACTGAGAGATAACGATTAGATAATAGATTGAAAGTAACGTTTTATATTGTATTTCTGTTACAAATTTGGTCATTCCTTGATCCGTTCACGCTTCATTACTAACTAGATAGATTCAAGAAGAAAACGTCAATTTTTAATATTAGTAAGATAGTAGATGACAAATTCAAATTCAAATCACGTGTTCTTCAAAAAAAAAAAAACAAGATAAAATATTTGTGGAATATTGAGGAGGAAGGAAAAAGAGAGTATAGAGCAGAAATAATGCAAAAATAGGAAAGAAAAAAAAAAAGAAAGGAGAGAATTAAATGAAAGGAAATTGAATTACTTGAGTGAAAATAATAAAAAAAAAATAAATGAAAAATGGAAGGGCGTGAAAGGGGGCCATACATACATAACATACCCCAACAAGAACAGCCCTTCCTTCTCCATTAATTAATTAATTAATTAAATTAGATATAAATGAGGAGGGTTTAAAAAATAATAAAGCCACCAAGAAAGAAACACACGAGACTGAACCAGCAGCACAAACACAAAGCAAACTCGCTCTCCCGTCCTTGGCATCTATCTCTTCCCTGTCTCCTACTGATACCACTCTTTTATATCATCACATCCTTCTCTTCTCTGCCCATATGATTCCCATCTTTCTCTGATCTTCTTCCAACTCTCTCTCTTTTATGGCCGTTCAGGCTCAGTATCCTTCCAATATCCTCCTCCTCCACAATCACAACAACAACACCAGGTTTGCTTCTCTCTTCCTCCATCTTATTCTTCTTTCTCCTCCTCCTTAGATTCTCAATCTCCTCACTTCAATTTCTTCGGTTTTGATTATTCACAGCAACCTACAACCAGATTATGACTCTTCCTTCCCACCTGCGGAAGCACTTCTTCATCAATCTCACATGTTATTCGCCAATGGAGGTATACATATATATCTATATGTGCGTGTATATGTTGCGTGTGTATATATCTGTATATTGCTCTCTCTGCCCAGATCGTATATTCGCCAGTGGCACAGACACACGGCTAATCTAAGAGAGCTTGTTTTGATGGCTTCCTGAAACAGCAGGTAGTACGAATCCTTCAAAAAGATCATCACAAAGTAGACCGCCCATTGCGGTTGCTCAGGCAGTCCCTAATGTTGTGAATTCTATGTCTCTGCAATCTCCTCAGCTTCTGGAACTCTCTCAACTGCATAATCACCACCACAATAGCGTCTCCACCGGCCTCCGCTTATCTTCCTTCGCCGATCAACAACCACTTCACTTGCTGCCGCACCAACGACAACAATCATCGCAGGATGCATCTCATTACTCCCCTGTATCGCCTCTTTTCTCTCAAGATTTTGCCTCTCAAATCAAACAGCACCGAGACGAAATCGACCAGTTTCTTCGAGCACAGGTATTCCATTCATAAACTTATCGTTTTCATACTGGAAATTAGAATTTCCTTCCCTTAAATCCATGGTGCGAATCGGTTCTCCGAAATTGTTGTCAAGTTATTCTCGGTCTCTTTTTCGCCCCCCAAGTTTCAATTCAGACTAACTTGAAATTAACAGGAAGCGGAATTACATCGGACATTGGCGGAGAAAAGGCAGAGACACTACCGAGTGCTACTCGCCACGGCGGAAGAAACCATGGCGAGGCGGTTGAGGGAGAAAGACCTGGAGGTGGAGAAAGTCACGCGCATGAACGCCCAGTTAGAGGCACGCGCCGCGCAACTGAGCGCCGAAGCACAGCTCTGGCAGGCAAAAGCAAAAGCACAAGAAGCAACGGCCGCTTCCTTACAGGCCCAACTGCAACAGGCCATGATGAATGGTACGGCCTCAGAAAAGAGAGATGAGGGTGGGCTGTCCTGCGCGGCGGGAGCCGACGACGCCGAGTCGGTATACGTTGACCCGGACCGATTCGAACCGACCGGACCGAAATGCAGAGGGTGTGGGAAGTGGGTGGCTTCGGTGGTGGTATTGCCGTGTCGGCATCTGTGCATGTGTGCCAAATGCGACGTCCATTTCCGAGCATGTCCGGTTTGTCTTTCCCTCAAAGAGTCAACCGTTGAGGTTTTCCTAACTTAGGGCCCAATCCAATGATCGGCCCAGTAGGAGGCCCAACTGAAATAAAAAACATTAAGTTAAATATTTGAAAATAAAGGGATGAAAATTCATTTTACTACTACTAATTTTTTATTTAATTCAGATTTAGATGGGATGGAGCCTGATGAAGAGGTCTGGCCTTACATGTGATGCACACATTGTATGTGGCATTGTCTTTTTTTTAAAAAAATTTTTTTAATAACATTTGTTCTGACTCTCTTGTTTCTTGGAAATTCAATTAATATTATACATACATATTTATAAAAAAAATACATGATGATTCATTTTTAAAAAAAAAAAAACCTGAAATGTAGAATGCCATGCAACATACATGAATATTTTAATTTAATAGTTTTGGTGTTACATGTGGTTGAAAAGCTTCATAGGATTAGCATTTTTCATTTAGAGATTTTTTTTTAATTTTTTGAACAAAAAAAAAGGTGCTTCTCAGCACATGGATTGCATATGTCAAGGAACCATCAAACTTACGTGTTTGATGCTCATTAGTTTCATGAAGCGCATTGCTTATCAAATGAACCACTTTTTTTAACCTTTCTTTTACACTCCTTTTCAAAAGAAACTTACCAATTGCGTAACAGTAAAACAGTCTTTTGCCTTTTTCATAAACCCTTCCCCTCTCTGGCATAATAATAATAATAATAATAATAATAATAATAATAATAATAATATTATTATTATTATTATTATTATTATTATTATTATTTTATTTGTTTAAACATTTCCTAGTTAACTAAACGACTTTTTTAGATAATGAATATGATTGAACATAATTTTCAAAATTTGAAATTATTAACTATTTTATTTGAATTTCATAAGTAAAACTGTTAATAGGTTTTTTGTTATAAAGAGGGAACAATAATTATATTTACAAAAGCAGAACAAGGAAAGGGTTCAGGTCAAAAAACAAAAAAAAACAAAGAAGGAAGGGGTAGTAATTAAGTTGTTAATTTGCTACCAGGCGGCCTTTCAAACAGTGCAAGAGCTGTTTACTGTTGTGATTCTGAATAATCACAGACAATTTTGAAAAAATAAAAAATGAAACAATTCTTTCAGTTATTGATGCCTAACTTACGAATTAATTTACTTGTCTGATAATTACTGGTTAACACTTGATGCAAATCAAACTAATTCTTTGCATGACTCTTTTAATTAATTTAAAAATTTTATCCTTAAAACTCTTCAAATGCTCAAGAGCAAAGTTTAAGAATAAAAGTGAAATATGTTCTGTGCGAAATAAAAACCAGTTAATTAATTTTGTTTATTTTCAAAAGGAAAGAAAATTTAAAAAAGTAAAAAACGGATAAGAGGTTATTTCTGGAGTGTGCACCATTTTTGTGGTTACTACTCTTGGCGTTTTATTTATGGTCAAATTATTTTTCCAAGGGGAACCAAGACAACGTACACGTATTACAAATAATATTATGAATCACAAACGTCTCAAATTAAATTAATATTAAGAACCAACAAAGATTAGGTCTATAGCGGAAGGGGTATTCACTCACAATGTTGTGAATCAAAATTCAAGTTTATGCTCAGACACAATATTTTGAAAAAGATTGTTTTCAATAAAGAAATACACATACTAAGCAACAAAAATTAATCTTTAAGAAAATGGGATTGGCTGAATTGGCTTTTAGGCTCAAACAAAGCCCAACAAATATGAAAGCTACTATGAATTTCGAATTTTATTCATTTAAATTAAACAATTTAAAGAAACTTAAACAATATGGCATACTTTGTGGGGAAAAAGCCACTCAATGTTTGAATGAAAAGCAAAAGCTTGATATGTGCAAAAACAAACATGTCCGATTGGAAGGAATCCATATTTTTTCACCCTTCAGATAGAAGCAGCTGAGTCATATTGTTTTAACTTGAACCCATTCTCTCCCCAAAAAGCCGCCCAATTGATTCCCCAGGAAAAGCCACACAAAAAGAAAAAAAGTGTTCTTAACTCTCTTTTGTTATTCCCCATAATTTATTTTTTAAAAAAATAAGAAGAGATGGAAAATTAGAAAAGTGAAAGAAAATGATATGAGAGAGAAAAAATATCAAAGAGACCAAAACCAAACAAAAGATTTGGACAAAAGAGAATCGAAGTCATGCATCAAAGAGATTGAGTTCAATTCGAATCCAAAATGATCACCAAACTGCTCGCAGTCATTATTCTTTCTTTGAATTATTTTTTTCACAGAGTTAGTCCAAAAAAAAAACAAGAAGATTTTTAGTGAATATTATCGTCGTTACATGTGACTTTTCAAAGTTCAACCTAATTTCTCTTGAACAACCAACAATCAAATGGGAAATGCCAACAGGCAACAGGTAAATGCTAGTGTCACTTGTTAATTTGTTCTCGTTATTACGTTATTTGTTTAGCCTTTTCTTTTTAGTTCTTTTTTATTCAATACTTAATTATTTGCGGTTATAAAATTGATAGATCAAATAAGTTTTGAGGAGATAGAGTTCTGTAAATCCTCGTCGTTTCCAGTTGATAACAATGAGATTGATCATTTAGATTTTTTAAATAAAAAAAAAGAAAGAAAATTGACGCGTTTTGTTTTAAGAAGTAGCGTTACAAATAAGAAATACTCCTCTAATCCTATTTATAAGACACTTCTAATATATTTTACATAGACTAAGAAAAACCTTAAAATGTATTAACTATTTAACTCTCCATTAAAATATAACAATTTTTCAACTTTATCCATATTTAATATATACACATTTCAAAAGAAATAACTAGTTACACTAAAATAAATGAAGGACAAAATAGGATATTTACACTAAAATTTAATGAGGTGATTTATAAATAGAAAAAAAAAATCTTCTCTCTCTGTCCTATAAATAGGACCAGAGGAGTGTGTGTATTGGATAGATACAACATGATACGTAGAATACATTATTTTCAGAATTTCAAGATATGAGTATGTGTGTGTGGATGTGTATGTGTTATATATATAAATATCTATATTTTTTAGAGGATGCATACCAGTACCTTAAGTTTTAAATAATTAATAGATATAATGTATATAATAATCAATCAAAATATTAATTTTTTAAGGATTTTAAGTTGTATAGAGATATTTTGATTAAAAAAATATAGTAATACAAATGATAAAACGTGTAAATATGTAATACGTATAATGAAATGTAATACGTGTATCGTATTAGATACAGCTACGTTTATTTTTCTCAAGTCTCGGCGAGTTTTATAGGTTATATTTAATATTTGAAATGCCGTTAAAAATCAATTAGAATAATTGATATATGTAAAAATGTTCCATATTCTGTGCATCAGTTTACTTGAATTTTAATAAATTGTCTTTCATTAAAAAAAAAAAAAAGTTATGGAGGTCCTAATTTATAAATATATAATTTAACATGTTAAAAGTGTTCTATATAAGATCATAAAGAATAGACATCAAAATACTTTTTTTTGGTGTATAAAAGTTTAGGTGATCTGAGTTGGGTCACCGAATTGATCAAAATCAGAGTGTGCCTCCAATCTCAAAAAGTATTTATAGATCGATTATCAATAAAATTCTCACATCTTTAACGGAATTTAAAATTACGAGTCTGCACACTATGAATCAACTCTTTACCAACCCAATTAACTTTTAGTGACACAGGCATCAGAATTTGGTAGTCTCATTATTGAATGACACCCCCAATTCAATCCACTGCTCTGTATGTGTTGTTCCCTCTCAAGGTAAGGAACAAGAGCATTGAGTAGGAAGCATTTGGGGCTGAAAATAGAATCCCAACCTAACCTAAGAGAATGGCCCATCACTGAAACTCATATTTATAAGCAATTACCAACCCTTCGCATTTTGAGCCACGTAGAAGCCAATAATTCTCTATATGCCATAATTATATTTCAAGCCAAGCTGGTTTCATCCATCACATCAGCTGTAATTATATATATATATATATACTCCTCCGGTCCTTAATATAAGACCCATTTAACTAATTTGATTAGATTAAGAAAGTTAGGTAAGTTAGTTAATTATAAGAAAAGTGATATATTTTTTCTAAAACACCATAATCATCTTTCTTAATACCTCCTCTCCCTCTTCTATTTAATTATGGTTGAGGGAGTATCTATAGGGGTAATTTAGAGAAAATTGATAAATATGATAAATGGGTCTTATATTTAGGACCAAAACCAACTTAAAAATTGGGTCCTATATTAAGGACTGGAGGAGTATATGGTTACAACATTATATTATTCTTGGCGTCTTCCTCTTTCTGGGCATTTACCAACCCAAATTTAATTTGCACATCCTCTGTGTATTTATCACTCTGCCTCCCTCATACTCCTGCATTTACTAACTACTGATCTGAGAAATACACAATGGAATTGGTTAGTGAGGATGATATGATGAAATGAAGTGCAAGTAAAACTAATTGATGAGCAAGCCTCACAAAATTTGAGCCCACTTCATATCTCTATCTTTAATCTCACTCGTGAAATCCAAACTATGATGGCTACTTATCAATGGCCCGTTTTTCATTTTTAATTTTTTGTAAATTTGTGTGGCTGAGTGTGTGTTATATGGAATTGGATTGGTGCACAAGTCACAGTTTTGGGCTTCATGTGTGGATCAACATGTCACCCGCTTGCCTCACTCACAAAACCAACGGGGGATTGGTCTAAGTGGTAAGCGGTTTAGTATCGCTTAAGCGAGGTCTCGAGTTCAAGCCTTAGCGTATGCAGAAGTCTCCGTTGGAAGACTCACTCACCACAGCCAAGTGTGCAACGCAGGTCAGATCTAGATGTAGTCAGAGCAAAGCTCCGGTGGACTGAGTGGGCAACCAAAATAAAAAAAAACCGCCCACTGAACTTATTGCTGAGTTCTACACACACACACATACTGAGAGCATCTCCTTTTTGTCTTTTTAAATTTAACTAGATATTGGTTTTTTACATGCAGTCCAAAATGAATTAATGTGATTTTTTTATAATTTTTATAGACATTTAAGTAAATGTTATTGATTATTTCAATTTAATTTTATTCAGATTTTCATTGTTTATTTTGATTATTTGTCTTTAACTTCGTCACATACTCACATCATCTTACTATTAAATATTGGAGAAGTCCTCCTAGTTCTTCTCTGTGCTTCTTTAATTTTCATTGTATATTGCAGCCTAATATCATGAAAGTTTTTCTGTACATGAAGGGTCATGATTTTAATCCCACTCATAATTTCAAGCCGCCGGTGCTTACTTTTATAAATAAGGAAAAAAAAAACTTAATGATATTAGGCATATAAGTCTTTTTCATGTGGGTTTATTAATGGTTTTTTTTTTTCCAATTCAATTCTATCTCTTATGAAACTTCTCACTTCCAACCCAGACTTAGCTCCTAGTAACCTAATTTTCAATATCAATGTTATTGTTTAATAC